TTTTGTCAGCTATACAGTAGAATGTGGACATCAGTTTTTTACGTCCACTCCATAAATGAATAAATTTGGTTGCTGCACCTACCCTAAATAAGGAAGTGTGATTGACTGATACAAATAATTGGCTTTCATGCAGTAGTTCCAGGCTTTGTACTCAGATGTGACTACCTCAATCAGGGCTATTGGACAGGATCATCAGTTTTGAAGCAATAACATGATCTACCTTGACCCAAGTGAGATCCCCAAAAACGAACAGTTGACAGTTAGTCTAATGTTCACATGAAGTTATCTGAATTTCCAATTAGTAGTCGTGAACGGTAGGGAATACCAAGCTGGATACGATGATGAATCCTCCTCACAGATGACATTTTCTGGTGGTGCTGCTCTACACATCATGATTCCACAGAAGTTAGAATTCACCGGCTTATGAGCACATCACAGCATCTGATTGACAGACAGTCTTACAGTGTTGTGCGAATGTCCTGAGGTCTATTATCCGTGAGGTGATGGGTGTGTACTGCTGCAAAGTCAACAACTAAGTCGAAACGAATGTCCAGTACTCGCTGGCCTTCAGTGTCATTCATCTCTTAGTCCAACTTGAAACCAATCAAATCACAGTAAGCCGACACATCAAAATCGAGACTTACAAAAATGCTGCATAATTTAGGTTTGCATTTTATCGCTAACAAATACTTACTACTCGCTAGTAGTCTAGATTACATTTAGAAATTTTAATGAAAGCGATACTAATTCTTATACAATACTGAAGTCATTTGTGCTCCGTCATCCCCTACTGTTCCTTGTAACGGAATAATAGTTTGAAAGATACCTCCTGTGACCCATCTAGTAACAATATTTGCACTTATTTGATGCTCCCATTGACTAGGAAGTTAATTTCCTCTTTTCTACTAATGTTTGCATATTCTCCATTGACATGATCCTTATTATTATTTGACATTTTCCTTCCCTGTTCAATCTCTGACTTCATTGATTCAGTTTCTGGCTGTGCAATAAATACATTGATAAAATGTTGTTTGATCACTGAGATTCTACTTGAGGTGAAGGTGACTTTTACCAGTGGGATTGTCTGTAGGAATTGTTTGATGACTGATTTTTGCTGACGTAGTTATGATCTCAACCTTGATGAAAATCATCTATTTTATTCGATTCTCAGATGCTTTTTACAGTTGATCATATGAAATCCTGTGTCTTTGCTACCTACCTTCTATCGACAGCTGGTTCACCTAGAAGTCTTCTAATGTATTTATCGATGGTTAAACTATTCCTTATGTAAATCCTTCCTCAATACTCCACTTTCTCTTCAACCGTGTTTAAACAATACTTCATTCTCATCTGTACCTTCCTTTATTCATCAATTCGACACGGATTTACAAAAAACCCTGTCGTCGCACCCAATTAAAAGTGCTTAAGTTTAACAAGTCAGACACCTCACGATTTGAAGTTTGTTATGTACTCTTACCGTATTATATTCTAAATAAATCCCGCCTTCCATATTTTGTACGCCTACCTCGGATGTTCAGTCCACACAGTCAAAAAGTCAACTTAAAATTCACGTCCTAGATTTCTCGAAAGAAATCAACAACCAAATGTTTCACCCTTTAAATTTATACTACTTATAAACGAACGTAGTAGTAATTTTTTACAGCATAAGTATTTTATTGTACGAATTTTCCTCCCTTCTGCTGATACTTTTCTCATTGTGTTCTTTCGAATTTCTGCTACCATCAAACCATTCTAACGAACTTCAAACTTTTGAAGCTATTCAAATTCACAAGGACAGTAGCACCTGTGACATGGAAAGAAATAAAGCTCATCCCTGTACCAAAATCATCTTTTGAATCAAATGAAATGTTTAGATCAATCGCCGTCAATGTAATTGACATGTTGTTTGCATAATCCCTCCTGCACCATCTTTTTAGAATATTTATACTTATTTAGGCAGTTCAACTAACCCTGGAATTATCATTCGTATTTCGCCTACTCTGTGTATCTTTTATTTAACATTCGCATACAACACGCCGATTGTGACTTTGTCTATTTGTCTCGTTTAATCTTTGATTTTAACACTTCTCTTTGTGGTTGTGTGTCATTTGACAATATACTTTCAGGCGAAAACAAACAAGCTACCAGAAGAAGCAGTCACAGAAGTCAGGACATCAGGTGAATATGAAGAAGACGGAGGAGATGAAGATAACCAACCAACCAAACAACCAACAGCGACAACAACCAGCACCAGTCACAATCAATGCGAGAGGTTTACAAGAGGTTACTTCTTGCCTTCACTTATCTCACCAGAAAGCACGGTTTCAACCACAGCCAGAGACGATCCAAAAGGCGAGATACTCCTTCATCAACCTGAAACCAGTTTGAAAATCTTCTACTTCACTCACTCAGCTAAAAGAACAAGATTCTGATCTCCAACACAAATGTTTTGTCATTCAATCAATTCTTCTACACGGATCGGAAACTTTCATTTCGTGTGAACCATGAAAAGGATTTCCAACAGCCTGTTACATACTTTTATCAACAGCTGCTCACTACTCTGGCTCCATACTCAAGATCAAATGACCGGCAGGCCAGAAACAATAAGTAACAAAAAACCTTAGGCGGTGACAAACCAACCAAGAGCCAATCGCTCAACAAATATGTAGGTAAAAATATGTGGAGATAGATTCGGCATACGTTGAGGAGGCCTTCGGTCGAATGACATCGTGCACAATGCAGGTCATCCCTCGAGTGGAATGCCAATGTGAAGTGATGAGTGGATCGTCGGTGCGATAGTGACATAGAGGAGATGAAAGATAATGGGCAATCATGAACCCAGATGAAGTGGACAACAGAGAATAGCTTAAAGTGCAGATGTGTTGTCGAAGACCTATGTTCCACTCGGAACAAGACATGAAAGAAAGACAAAGAAGCACAATACGAAAAACATGTGCAAATTTTGATTTCAGTGTGTGATAGACGAACTTCTGCCTATATGTCTACGTCAAGTTGCCATTAAAAAATTCCGTTGCCGAATACTCTTGTATCCTACCGTTTCAATTAATATTGCTGCATCAGGACAATGGAGATTCCATGGCCTGCAGCTTTCAAAAACGGAGATAATAAGAGCTCCTTGAATGGCTTCAATGCTGTTGCTGGATCGGTATGCATTAAGGATTCAACGGCGAAGATGGTTGTCCTAAAGACGCCGCTGAAAGGTCACCAAAAGGCGGTATACAACAGAGTAGTGATACCAGATAAACAGGAGACCTGGAAGTTGTACATATAATCGATATTATGTCACTTTTGTCTTCTGAAGCGTATTTCTTTGTCTTCATTTCACGTGAAGCTTTCATCACTGTCTTTCTGGACAATATTCACACAGGGCAAGCCACACAATTTGCAGCTGAACTTTGAGAATTCTCCGTGTGTTTATCACTGACCTCTACTGGTAATACTTTGAACGGGATTGGCTGTAGTAATACTGATTATTTCATTGACCTGAAAGATAACCTTTTGTCCACTTCACTCTTCTTCTTTATCGATTGATAAATTTAGCCTACGTCAATTTATCTATTGATGACAGAGTCATGTGAATTACCCTGACTATCGTCTGATTATCTGTACCTATTGCCATCGCTGGCTCCATATTAAGGATCCAATGGTCAACCAAAAGCACTCCACAACAAGAAACTATGGGAACCAACCAACCAACCACGAACCCCTTATTGTAAAGCATTAGGCGTGACACCTATAATTCATTAAATAGTCAGTAGTACAACTGGATCTCATCTTTCCAACCCACTTCATCAATAGGTTCAACATTTCCTTTCTTTCTGTTCCTTTTCTCTCTCTTTTTCCGTTATGTGCTGCTTTGTTTCTTTCTCTCGCTTACGCCAGTTAATAAGACAACTCCCACTTTTCTAACACCTTCAAACACTGTTTAAGCTTTACCTTTGCTACTGACATGCCAATGTATTGTTGTCATAATGAACTGTGGTTTCCTCAATCTATGTAGAATTCTATTTATTGACAATGTACTAACTGGATGCAATACTGTAGTAAAAATGCTGAGAATTCCATTCTGTATCACAAGTACTGTTTTGGAATAAAGCAAATTATTATTATTATTATTATTATTATTATTATTGTAGATGAGTGGCTTAAAAACCCCCATTTAGTCATAAGAAAAAGAGAATACATCCAGCGAAGAGACTCTTTTCAGCGAATTCATTCACATAGCTGTAAAATCGCATTTATATATCATTATTTTGTGTGTGTACATGAGGTTTGTCAAGTTTAGATAATTGATCAGGTAATACAAGAATGATCTAATATAGAAACAAGGTTAATTAGACAGCAACCTGTAATTATCTCTGTTGCTATCCTGACCTAGGTTGAAACAGTTTAGTGACTTATATTACATCATCTAACTTACTAACTAACTCAATCTTACTTTAGTGGCTGCCTAATTTAACCTTGTTTCTATATTAGATCAGTCTTGTATTACCTGATCAATTATCTAAACTTGACAAACCTCATGTATACACACAAATAATTATATATAAATGCGATTGTACAGCTATGTGAATGAATTCACCATCGAAAAGTGTCTCTTCGCTGAACGTCTTCTCTTTTTCATATTGTAGATGAAACGACCGATGGATTAGGCATGCGCCATTGAGGGAGATCGTCGAATGACAACACACCATCACTGGAGTGAAATCCGAATGGGAAACGATAAGTATGGTGTGCATCCAATAGTGATATGGAGAATATCAGAGATTATAGGTAATCGTGGGATCAGCTAAGGATAGAACAAAGTGGAGACGCCCTCTTGAAGCCTAATACTCAGTTGGGAACCCAAGCGAACTATGATAATAACATTATTATTCTATATCTACATACTACTCATAAATCATATCAGTAGCTGAACTGTAACAACACAAAAAAAGCGCATCATAAGTAAGACATCGGAAAAAAAGACATTGAAAGTTGTGATTTCTCTGACTAAATAACACTTTATTATAATGTAACAGTATTTAGTAATAATGTAATGTGCACTTCAATAGAAGTAATAAAAATAAAGAGAGAAACAGCAAGACAGATAAATGAGCAGAAATACTATTTTATTTTCTCCTCTATTACATCAACAAATAAATAAATAAGAGGGTTGCGTATAAGAGAGACACAGTGAGAGAGGGAAATGAGACTGATAGACGAAAGATACGAAGATAGATGGAAGGATGCTTAACGAGAGTCAACAGTCCAGAACCCCACCTAAATCCACACAATGAACGCTCCTCCTCTGAAGATAAAAAACGTACACTAATGGATATATATATATCTAAGATTTTTTCTGAAAAAATAAAGTTTCTCTAATAAATCAATAAATAGACAAACTTTTACTTATTTCTATTATAAATTTTCTAAAAAAGAAAAAAACACGGAAACAAACAAGTAGTCAAATAGGCAGGTAGAAAAAAGGAGCGAACTTCATTAGAAAATACACATGCACATACACGCACACACACATATATATGCTACTGAATACTACTACTTATATTGTCATTGTTCAAATTGAAGCCTTCATCAGTCTTTCCTTCATGTTATCAACTAAAACGACGGTAGTGTTAGGCAGTAGCAGTCGTCGGCATCGTTGTCGACTTAGTAGTAATAGTGCTGTGTAGTGCAATGCAGTGCAGTGTTCACAACCATAGACAGATAGATAGAGCACAACCATTTGAAGTATTTAAAAGATTAGTAGTAGATGAATGTCTATGAAGATATGAAGTCCACAAATAGGCGCCTAGACAGATTCAGAGATCCCCTATGTCTCTTTTCAATCGTAAGTGATAGAGATGAGCGAATAGAACAGTAGAAGAGGAGGAGGAAGGGGCAGGCGAAGGGGGAGGAAGGGCACATGATTGGTGAGAATGTAGAATTAAGTAGTGGACAAAATAAACAGATAAAAGATACAATGGGTTAGAGAATGTGGAAATGAATATGGAAAACTCCCCCATCTTATAAATAATAGAAGTAATAATAATAGTAGTGGAGAAGGAATGATTGAATACCTCTCATGATGAGAATGACGATAATTCCTACATGAGGATGATAGAGCTGATAAATAAATAAGTCGAATAAACGTTATTTTCATCCTGTCTCTCTCTTTCTCTCCGACACCCATCATTTGACACCCGTCGCTATGTTGTTTCGTGTTCTTATCCCATACCAACTCCCAAACCCTTATATCCTCTGTCTCTGTTCTTAAGACCCTCAACTTTGATCGAACTCGCTCTCTCTCCCTCTCACCCTTCAACAGAACACTCTACTCAGATACACACAGAGAGAGAGAAAAAGAGAAGGAGGCCAAATGAATGAGAGATACAACAAAATGGAGTGAGGCGGGGTATAGGGTCGATGGGGCGAGTGAGGGAAATGCATTCCACTTGACATGATTACGATAAATAATAATTATAATAATAATAATAAGAAATTAAGTAACAATGAGACACGCACACGCATAGGGAGTAGACACTTAATGATTTTTGCTTATTTGTTTGTGTATTATAGAGCTCTTAAATATCTCTTATTTGTGTGTGTTTGTGCGCGCGCGCGGATGTCCTCGCTTCTGTGATTACAGATCTTTCGGTAGCATATAGGATATATCCTCCCATGGATGACGATACAGCCCTTGATGTAAACGTTTTTGATCCAAATAATGACCTATAAAAAAATAAATAAAATAAGGTGTGTTACTTACAAGATTTATAAGTAGTATAAAGAATATAGATAAAAGTTGTATGTCATCTGCATGAATATCGAATAGCAGAGGGAGAGAGAGAGGGGATTTAATGCATGAATGAAGGTTACTTGTGAAACATAACACATGGAGAATATGAAAGGAAGGAAAAGACAGCAGCACAAGACAACAGAAGACATTTGAAAATTGTGATTATATATAATATATGGTAAAAGTATTTCGCGTTATATCATGTCCTCTGTGGTGTTACATTTTATGTAGTGATGAGACAAGCTGATATTTCTCTTATTCTGATAGACTTTTATTCATTTGTGTATTGACTGAAGTCACAGTTGGATTCCAACCAACCCTATTATGGCTGGCGGCATTATAACCATCTGAGTTAAAAGATCCCACTGCTCCCCAGGAACTGTGAATTGTTGGTATTAGATGGTTGCAGGCTATCGGAAGGAGACCCTACCTAACCTAATTTTCGTGCTAGTTGGCACTTACCATTCAGAAAGACTTTTATCTGCAGCCTTGCAGGAACTCATGTCCCCCTGTCTGAGATTTGAACTAGCGTCACCCAATGCTACCTGCAGTCAGAGACATTACTACTGAGCTATTCGAGCTTGCGATTAACCTACTGTAGGAATGTAGTGTCTCAGACTGGAGGCAGCACTGGGTGATGCGTGTTCGAATCTCAGACAGGGAACATGAGTTCCTTCGACGTTACAGATACGCCTGGCTGACGGGTGAGTGCTAACTAGTACGAAACCTAGGTCAAAGGCTTCCTCTTGACAATTGCCTCCAACCATCTAATACCAATTATTATTGTTGTTTTAATTCCAGTGGGTTCTGAATAGAATAGAATAGAACCTCAGCAGTACCACATCTCTATTTCACCCTGTTCTATGTCGTCCTCTTCAGATGGCCCCACCGTTGTGCATAAGGTCACATCGCCGCCCCACACAATCTCCAATGAAACTGTCTTGTTCTTTGTTATTACTATTCCTTTGTCTCACACCTCTGTTTACTGACTATATTATGCATTTCTTCTACTTTCTTCTCTTTCTTTGTGTGCTACATGGAGTGTGGCGACTTGAACTTCCGCACATATGTGCAAAGTTCTATATCGAAAACCGACCAACCGACCGACCGACCTCCATGTCACCCTTGGACCTACTCCCAACTCCTCGCTTACATCCTATTCGGGTTCCAATAGAACTATAAACTAGTGCATGATATCATCCAACAGTCAGTCTCCTCAGCATGTGTCAAGTGCATCTCCTTTTCCTTCAACATAATTATTGATCAATAGGTTGTTGATTGGCCTAGTTTCAAGAATTTCTTTATGCTTACTCTTTCGAATCGGTTATCCGGTAACAAGGGCCAGGCAACAGATCCTTTTATCAAGGAAAATCAACAGATATTTATAGATTTTAACGTACATTATTGTAGATTATTGTTAGTAGAAAATACAGTCTGTTGATTGGTTGTTTCTCACAGAAAGTTAACCTTGCATCTCTTTGTGGCTGTGTCAGATCATCCATTTGCTAACTGTATCCGCCTACGCAAAGCCTTTGTTCTTATTTTCTCACCACCAATATTGGGGACATGAACATTGACGTCAATTACTGTCTACTAACTTTGACTAGCAGTCAGCTCCCACCAGAATCTGATCTTCGGGGTATGAAACCAGAGATATGGAGGCATATGTTGATAAACATTCTCACCTCAATAAGATAAGAAATCTGGAGAGTAACTCAGCTTTATAGCACTACATGTAATTAGACACAACTATAACAATAGGATGAAGTAATGATAAAAGTCTTCATACTTAATATAACAAAGTGGAGGGGGAGATCGATAAATGAAGCTTAATTTATCGAATCAACTTTGTCAACCGGTAGACACTAATGCTGTTTCACTGTATGGATGATAGCATGTAATATGATTTTTAAAGGGGAACAGGGTGTGGTGACAATTGACTGCGAAAAAAACTAAAATTTTAACTAACAATTTACGTCAATGTTCACGTCCTGAATCAGGATCATGAGAAAAACGATAACAAGGCTTAACCTTGAAAAAATCGCCAACCAATCACAGCGGTCTTAACGTGTGGAGACAAGATTTGCAGATGCATGGCTTAATTTTCTGAGAAACGGTCACAAAGCAATACAGAATAACCTTCAGCAAGAAAACAATCAACCAGAAGAAGTTTCTCTTCTCCACTGATAAGAATGCACATGAAATTCCATAAATATCACTTGATTTTCTCAATAAACGATCTGTTGCCCAGCCTTTGTCTTCGTGTCGTTACAAGGATTGAAGTTACAAATTACAAAATTTGTTTTTATTATAATAATAGCAATATTTAGATATTATAATAGCAGGCCCAAAAAATTCGAACAGGCCGCCAAGGTCAAGGTCAACCAGCTTGTTAATATTCTGGTTGACAGGCACATGGACTCATGTGAAAAATGGGCTAAATCCATTTTATCTAACTCACACCACCCTCTTCACTCACAACTCTCCCCTTGCATCTCATCAGGTAAAACAAGAAGCCTATATAGAAAACTATATGCTCGCACCAGCAAGTACAAAAACTCAACCATACCCTACTCAGCTCGTGTTCTGTGCGATAAAGAAACCATTAGGCGCGATACATATAACTTATTAAATAGTCAGTAGAACAACTGGATCTCGTCTTTCCAACTCATATCATTTATAGGTACAACATTTTCTTTCTTTCTTTTCCTTTTCTCTCTCTTTTTCCGTTATATGCTGCTTTGTTTCTTCCTCTCGCTTACGCCAGTAAATATGATAGCACCTACTTTTCTAACACCTTCAAACACTATTTCAGCTTTACCTTTGCAACGGACATGCCAATGTGTTGTTGTCATAATGAACTGAGACTACCCATAATCTATGTAGAATTCTATTTATTGATAATGTACTAACTGGATGCAGTACTGTAGTAAAAATGCTGAGAATTCCATTCTGTATCACATGTACTGTTTTGGAATAAAGCAAATTATTATCATTATTATTATATTATTATTTTAAAAAAATAGCAAACTAAATGAAAATTTTAAGTCATGGACGTAGAAATAGTCATAAATTTCCTTTGCAGAAATTTTATTTGTTTCAAATTTGACGACGCACGGATTAATATCAGTTAGAGAGACAACCAGTGAAAACCATCAAAGAGTACTTTACTAGGTAGCTGCTTAGTCCGCATTTAAGCAGTACACACACGACCATCAAGGATTGAACCCAAGATCATTCGGTTACAAGTCAAGTTCGTGAATCACTCGGTCACTGGGACCCTACTTCTCAATAGCTAATCCATATATATATTCAAATTTCTAAGAATAAGTGATTGTTCAGCGCGACTGGTACAAATCAATGTCATCCATGACAAGTATTTGTGTCCTCACCATTGATTGACCTGATGGATCCCACTAATTGATCACAACTTCTCACTAGAACTCACTCCAGGTAACTTCGTCCTGCTAATTAATTTTTATGAGTTTTTTCTAGGGTATGGGTTGATCACTGAGACGTCAAGTGCCGGTATTGCTGAGAATGGTCTAACAAGCTTCCTTTGTAACCAGAAGGTTTTGAGTTCGAACCCCTGACAGTGAGTGGATGCATTCTACCATTGAGACCCCAACTAGGGAGGGGGGCAAAACAGCTGATTCCCTAACTGATATCAATCCGTACGTGATCTTGAAACTTCAATAAACAGTTAGAATCCTCAATAGAAACGACAACAACAACTAACGAACGAACATAATCCATGTGTATACAAAAAAAACAAACAACCAATTAAAACGTACCAATAAAACCGATTGATCGACCCAAGACAAATAAACCATTCAATGTACCAATATTGACATATTCATCAGCTTCTTCTCTATAGTGCGTAGAAAACAAAGATAAAATTCTTTTTTAGAAAAGTATAAAGAGAAAAGAATGTAAGAAAAAAATGATTGTTCATAGAAGATAATAAAAAAAGTGACAAGAAAATATTTCTTTTTGTTCCGTTTTTAGAACATGCTTGATTATACACATCTATGTGTAACTTTGAATGCTGTCGCATAATTTATTCAGAACAAAAATATACAGTTACGACAAAACCATCGAAAAAAGACCTAGTTTATCTGAAACGTATAATGTGTAGATTTGTGGAACACATTTCGAATAATTCTGATCACACACCACGTACTTGTCATACGCTGACTGACTGACTAACTTACTCAACATGGAACTTTGCAAAGATGTACAGTAGCACTTCGAGTCGGCACACTCCATGTAGCACACAAAGCAAGAGAAGAAAGTAAAAGAAATGGAGACAGAGATATGAGGCAAAAGGAATAGTAGTATGGGAGAACAACATAGTCACAAAGAGTGGATGCATCTACGCCAGCCATTGACAGCGACGGTTTTGAGCCATATCATTACGAATTGTCACCAGCCATTGGTTTTTACCGTCCCGAGGACCCTAACCAGTGAGGAAGTCCACATCTTCCTATGTGGCTTAAACTAACTGTTGTGGACTTCATTGACTGGTGCCATGTTTTGGTTTGAAGGCCGCTAGCCGGATTTTCAACATCGATGTCAAGTGGATTCTTCTATATAGGTGTGAAACTTGCACTGCAAGAAAAGGATTTCCAACACGTTGCAGACTTTTATCAACAGTTGCCCAATTCGCTGGCTCCGTACTGAAGATCGAATGGCAGGCGAGAAAGAATAAGTAACAAGAAACTCTGGCTGACAACGAACCAACTAAAAAGCCGATCGCTCAACAAATATGTTGTGGAAGGAAATGGAGATTGATCAAACATACATTGAGGAGGCCATCGAATGATATCGCGCCATCACCACACCATCTCTCGAATGGAATCCCAATGGGAAGTGAAGAGTGGGTCATCGGTGTGAGGGTGACACAGAGGAGATCGTGCGGTGATTATGAGGCGGAGGGAGAGATGAGAGATTATAGGCGATCATGAAACCAGATGAAGAGGACGGCAGAAGATAGGACGAAGTGGAGATATGTTGCTGAAACCCTACGTTCCACTCGGAACCCAAGGGAATAATAATAATTTTTAATATAGGTGTAGAATTGCAGCACCCACTAAAGTCCTACAGGAGGTCAATCGCGAGCCCGAATAGCTCAGTGGTAACGTCTCTGGCTGTGCAGGTGGCACTGGCTGACGCGAGTTCGAATCTCAGACAGGGGACATGAGTTCCTCCAAGGTTGCAGATACGCCTTGCTGAAGAGTGCCAACTAGCACGAAACCTAGGTCCAAGGCTTCCTGTCGATCGCCTCCAACTATCAGAATAATAATATGGAAGAACAAAAGAGCTTTATTGGAATGAAAATCACAAGGAGTGAATGCATCTGCGCCAGCCATTGAAAACGATTTTGAGCCAACCATATCAGCAGTAGTGTCCATCCCGGAGACCCCAACCAGGAAGCCTGCACACCACTACATGTGCCTGACTTAAATTAACTGTTAAAGGTGTCATGGACTGCTGCCATGATTTGCTTTGACCACCACTCGCTTTCTCTTTTCCAACCTAATCCATCCTATGTCAGTGGCTTAGATTGCCCGTCATCAAGTAAGGCGATGGTTAGGCATAAGTAACACATGTCGTAACCATCTCTCCGAATCGGTGTAGCCTCACAAACTCGTCGATTGATTTCCCCCTCTTTACCAACGCCTAACTAAACTCAATATTGCTCACCTTATTATACCACCACTTCATACGGCAGATAAGACGCAGACACCTATGATCAAACACAGCTAGCCAGGATTTTCATCTCTTTCACTCTCAATGATCATATCGGACTCAAAGCCATAAAGGAGGACATGGGCGAACGGCTGAGCGATACAGATGCCATTTGGTCGATAAACATTGGTAAACCACGTCTACGTAAGATATGGAATAAGTTGGCATATGCCAAACGAGTGAAGTGGTCAACGTGCTCTACCACTTCACTTCCTATTTCTAATCTAGGAGTCGGTGTAGTCCAAACCTGTAACATCATCTTACACTTGACGGGAGCGAATCTCATGGCGAACATTCGAAGATTGCAGTTCAAGGCGTTGAGAACACTCTGCTGCATTTTGTCAGCGTCCTCGCCTAAAAGGACTATATCATCTGCATATTCTAAGTCAACGAGATTATTCCCTGGTGATAACAAGTCAGTCCCTGCGTCGCTGAAGTCAGCAGTTAGGGTTAAGTCCATTAGTACATCTATGATGAAATTAAACAGAAACGGAGATAGGGAGTGAGTAGTCCCTGACAGACACAACTGGTTTTTCCCCTGCTCAGATGATAACTCTCCGTAGGGGCTCACCTGACCGACTGCATGAGTTCGAGTAGAGTGAGTGCCTTGATCAGTGCAATGTATTTCCTTGGCATTCCTTTTAAATCCAAATATCGCCATAGTACATCTCGGTCGACAGAATCGAATGCCGGCTTTAGGTCAAAAACTATGACGATTGTTGGACGCCAGTAAGTATGCCTATGCTCCAGAATATGTCGAAGGGTAAAGATATGATCAATACACAATATCAACAAAATCACTTCACTCAATTCTATGTCAACCAAAAGACTCAACAGCGAAAGAAGATAAAACCAACATCATCTACAAGATAAATTGTATCAACTGCGAAAAACATTACATTGGCCAAAGTGGACGTCCCCTTCGTCTTCGTATCCACGAACATAAGCTAGCTGTCAAAAGACATGACATCCACTCCCTCATATCACTACATACAGACAACCACAGACATCAATTCGACTAGGACAACGTTCAAATATTAGAAAGAGGAAACACCAAGAATGCTAGAGAATTTTTAGAAGCCTGTCTGGTACTCCAGTGAATCATCAATCAATAGACACATCGAGATAGACTAAATTTATCAACCAATAAGAAAGAAACGTCACACACAAAGAGTCAAAGTTCAAGTCAAAAATAAACAATCAGTTCCAATACAAGTAGCCTAGAAGGTGTGAAAACATACAAAAACAACCGATCACGTCCAAGGTCATCGGGAGAGATGATTAATAAACTCGTGGAGAAATCTAAAAGCTCACTTCCACAAATTGAAGTATGCGCTGAAGATGTCACCCAGTAGGGTGATGAAAGCTTCGCAAATTAACTATCCAGCTCAGAGAACACAACCACGTCGAAATGATCAATACACCCCTCGTGGTGGCCTAAAGCCTGTCTGGTTATTTCATGTTTGTTCCTTATGAGCACCACTTAGTTTAGGCATGATTTTGGAGCCTAGAACTTTAGTTACTATTAAATATAATTTAATATTATAATAACCTTTTAACCGAAGACCATATGATTCGCTAAAGTGTCAACTTCGCATAATCATACGACCTGAAAAACAATAATATAACAATAATAACAATATTGATTATTCATTTCTCACTATCCATAAACTCTGGGCTTCTCATCTCCGACATACAAAAATATGTCTTAAATCTCATGATTCAATGAATTTGCTGAATTATTGATATTTTGATTTTCTAAAATTTAATTCAAGATTATAGAGAACCCGGAAATCCTTATCAACGTCAGTCAACAGCTGCTATATGAGATGACGCTACATGTCGGATGATCTACAACGGAAAACTCAGCGAGGTATTTGAGATGAACACAGGAGTAACACAAACTTGCTTCTTTGCTATCATCGATGACCCCAACGAAAGCTACTACTTTGACGTGGTGGTCGGTCTTGAACACCACAATGACCCTACAAGCTTTACTGGCTGAGACTTATGTCGCTTGAGGTTCTACCATGCCAGAAAGGTTGTTAGGATAGCAGTTAGATAAAAAGCAGTTACCCAATCCAATGCTATGACTCAAACAAAATCACGAAATATCATGCCGGATCGGTCGGCGCCCGGATTAACAACGACCGCGCTTCCTGCTGCCGTGTCACAGGGTAGAAGTGATAAATATGCTACTGAGACATACCAAACAAGAACGAGCAAACAAAAACAGGCCTCAAGCAGTTGTCCCCTGGGCTCTGCGGTCACGTCACCAACTTCCACGGTGTGGGCACAGCCAGGAAGTAACAATCACCCTCACAATCCGAAACGCACGCGAAACCTCTCTATCATTGATGAGATTCCTAACTGAGTTGAACTAGATTTTGCCGGAGCACAGTGCTTGGGGAGTAAGAAGACCGGAAAACGTTATACTGATCAATAAGATGACTCTAAAAGACCTGGATTTCGCGTGAGGATGAATTATGCCAAACGTCACACAAATTCGAAGACTTACAGGCGAAAACCAACAAACTGGCTGAAGAAGCAGCCACCGAAGAAAGAACTCCGAAAGTGAACATAGAGAAGACGCAGGTAATGAAAACAACCAACCAACCGAAAACAACAAAAACAGTAACAAGCACCAATCACTATCAACGGGAATAATTTGAAAGAGATCCCTCTCCTCCTTACACAGATGAGGAGGTGAAAACCAGTTGAAAATCGGAGAGGCAAGTCAAGTTGGAAAATCTTCTGCACTCCACCTCAGCATACAAACAACAAAATTTGGATGACATGCAGGAGATCAGAAATGATGGGCAATCATGAACTCAGATTTCGACAAACAGCGGACAATGAGGAAACAGGCATAAAATGGACTCACACAAAGAACTTGGAGGATCTGGACTTCGCCGATGATGTATGTCTGATTTCCCACAAACTGGAAGACATGCAAGCGAAAAGCAACAAGTTGGCAGAAGAAGCATCCAGAGAAGATAGGACTTCAGGTGAACATGGAGAAAACAGAGGTGATGAAGATTCCTCGACAAGAACAACAACAACAGAAAACGATCAGCATAAATGGGAGAAACCTGAAAGAAACAACCTCCTTTACCTACCTATCTACCTCCTTTACCTAACTGGGAAGCATCGTTTCAACTACAGGCGGACGGAACTGACGAGGATATCAAAAGCAAGAATCGGAAAAGCAAGACAAGCTTTCACTACTCTCAAGTCTGTGTGGAGGTCAACAGAAAGCACTCAGCATCAAAAATAAGATCCGGATTTTCGACTCCAATGTGAAGTCAGTCAGTGCTACTATATGGATCAGAGACTTGGCGCGTCACAAAGAGCATCTCAAACAAACTACAGATCTTCATCGATCAACAGTTGTCTTCGCTCAATACTACTCAAGATGAGATGGCCAGTCAGAAAAGATCAGCAACAGGGATCTCTAGCAATGGGCGAACCAACCAGGAACCGATTGTAAAACAAATAGGCAAGAAGAAATGGAGATGGATTGGCTGGCCATACTCTGAGGAAACCATCAAGTGAGTGAAATCACTAAACAAGCGCTCGAGTGGAACTCGAAAGGGAAGCGGCGAGTTGGTCGTCAGTGCAAGGGTGACTTCAAGGAGGTCATGTGAAGAGGAGATGAAAACGTGTGGGCAGACTTGGAGCCAGGTGAAAACTCTAGCAGAGGACCGAACGTAATGGAGACGCACGGCTGAAGCCCCATGTTCCTTTAGGAATTAAAGGAAACAATAATAATAATAATAATGAACTCAAATGAAGAGGATAGCAGAAAATAGGACGAAATGAAGACGTGCTGATGAAGCCTTAATTTCCGTTCGGAACCCAAGGGAATAATAATAATAATATGACAAGTATGCACGTGTGTGATCAGATTGTTCGAAAGAAGTGTTGCGCAGATACAACATTAATCAATCCAGATCAATGACGTCTTTTAATTGTTTTGTCGAACAATAAATACATATACATACATATATTCAATTCAGTAATTGTTTGACACAGCAAAATAACCACTACTAACTAACCTTGTAAAATGACCACAATTTCTTAGTAAATCGACCATAGCTACACCGATCATTCCATCAACATTTAGAATTAAATTTGGACGCTAAATTGTTTAAAATAGAAAGCAAAAAGACAAAATACCATCCATCATCCACTAATTAAAATAACGATTATGCAATAATGACTTATGCAATCAGTACATAAATGATTTTAAGAAACAAAACAAAAAACTGTGAGAAGAACACTATTCATTGGGCTACCACATTGTTTCAAATTAGATCACGAACTATTGAAAACCCAGCAGGGAGTACTGGATAGCCAACTGTTTCGTCCTAGTACCATTCACCCACCACCGGGGTTCGAACCTAGGACCTTTTGGTTACAAGGTGAGCTCCTCATAGACCATTCATCAGCCACTGGATGGGACCCAACTAAATGCTCAGTCCGTAAATTCTAAATTTTATCAAGTGATGATTGTTTAGCGCGACTGGTACCACCAGCCAGCAATATCATCTTGGGCGCAAGTATTTGTCCTCATTCCCAACCGACCGGGTGAACCCCACAACTAATTGGTCACGACTTCTCACTAGAACACACACTCCAGTCAACTTAGTCCTGTAGCCAGGCACTAGTGAACATCAAAATAATTTCCAAGAATGAGTTTGTAGACATTTGATTTGTTACAGTTAGTAGTCGCGCCAAAATCACGAATTGAGTCAGGGGTCCCAGTGACTGAATAGTAGACAAGCTTGACTTGTAACTGGAAGGTGATCAGTTCGAACCCTGGGGTGTGAGTCTGAAACTAGGATGAAACAGCTGTCCAGTACTCAAACCTGCTATGCAGCAGCAATCTTTAGCCTCTTCGAAACGCTTCTCATGACGTGTGCACCTGATTTGACACGAGAATCCTGAAAACCGTAAATCTTACTCATTATGCTGATTGTAGTCAGTGATTTCCACAGTGATTTCGGATCAATGATGAACTGTTTTGCTATTCCGAGCATGGCTGGCTTTGACACTCTAATCTAGGTCTTTAGATTTCTTCTATTGACGGTGATTGGTGCTTCTTCCAATGTAACTACTGCTCCCGCAAATACATGTGAATTGGTATACACGGTTGGAGGTAACTTATAAGGGAGGGGTACTTGTCGATTTTTAACTGCATCAACATGTGGGATGTTTGGAGCAGAGCGACTGCTTTTGCTTCCGGATTTAGTCCTGGACAGAACTGCACTGAATCTTTTATTTAGAACTCTCATGATATCATTGACTTTGAAGTTGAGTTTGATGAAAATTGGCTTCTTGCGTTCATTCTTGACGTATTTGTCGATAAAGGTTTGAGGGTAACTACTTTCTTTCAAGTATCTCTTAAGCAATAACATCACTCCACTATTGACCACTTCACCTATTTGAAAAGTTGTATCAGCACCAACGGACTGATTGGTGACGAAATCTCAACACGAATCCAAAACGCTCGGGCTGCTTTCGCTAACTTATACCATCTCTGGCGTAGGCATGACATCCAACTATCAACCAAGGGGAGTATGTACTGCTCACCAGTTCGCTCCGTCCTTCTCTATGGCTCTGAAACATGGCCAATACGAGTTGAAGACATGAAAAGGTTGACTGCTTTTGATCATAGATATCTACGATCTCTTTCTCACGTTAGGAGGTGGTATAATAAAGTAAGTAATGTTGACGTTAGGCGTAGAGTGTTGGGTAAGGAGGGAAAATCAATCGACGAGGCTATAAAGTTACATAGATTGAGATGGCTAGTTCACGTGCTGCGCACGCCTAACCACCACCTCCCCCGACGGACGGGCATTACTAGCTGATATAGGTGCAGGTTGGAAAAGAGTATATGGTCCGGGTTGGGGCCCTCAGGACTGTAAGAATCAATGGCTGGAGACAATAGGTGACATGGCTCAAAATCGTTGTCAATGGCGCAGGTGTCTTCAGTCTCTGTAATCTTTCATATTCCTTTCTACCATTGCTCATTCTGTTTCACTTTTATACTTGTCAAAACTCTATTGATTCTCTGCACTCATCCATCTTCTTGTCTACCTTTGTGTGCTATTTGGAACGCGGCAACTCGAAGTGCTGCACTTCGGTGCCAAGTTCTATGCTGAATCCAGACATTCTTTTCGCTACGTACAAGGGCGTTTTCACCAGCGTCCCTTTATAATTCACTGTAACTGCTAATATATTTGTTACCACACTAACAACAAATTTCTCAATTAATTCTGCCAGAAACTTTCATCTTCAATAACATATCTCCCCACCTTACTCTATTTTCAGTTTTCCTCTTCATCTGGATCCACGATTGACCGTAATCTCTCCTCTCCGCCACGCACCAAACGATCACCTCCATGTCACCCTCACGCCAACGATCCACTTTGTCGCTTCCCATTTTGATTCTACTAGAACGATGGCCTGCATTGAGCACGATTTCATTCGACAGCTTCCTCAACGTATATCCGATCCATCCATCTCCATTTTCGCCTAGCACGAAATCTAGGTCAGGTAGGGGGCCACCTTCCGATTGTCTTTAACCATTTGATATCAAAGTGATAATTGTTGAATGGTCTTAAGAAATATGCATTGCTTGCTGGTTGATTTCTGGATAGCGTCCATCATTCATCCCCGACCTATTTTCTTTACATACTGTTGTTTCACTATTGCTGTGTGTGTGTGTGCGGCGCATCACTCTGGTGTCCATATTCTACCAGTTCCATCAAGCAGCTAGCTAGAAATCGGGTGTGGTTTGAACTATTGATTCGACTATCTCTGAGCTGAGTCAAACCATCTACACCGATGATGAAGACCTCGACCCCGAAAACCAACGAGACATCCATCCTATGGTGTTTAGATGATCTCAATCTGGCTGGCTAGCAAACTTTGCTGCTAGTGAATATGAGTGGTGTGGTATAAGACAACTACAGGACTGGACTAAATTGACTCCTAGCTTAAAGATAGGCAAGAAGTGAAGTGGATGGTAGAGCACGTTGACAACTTCACTTATCTGGGAAGTTGCATCAGCCACTGTACCAACGGGATGATCACTGACGAAATATCAGCATGAATACAGAAAGCTCGTTTGGCATATTTCAATTTACGCCATCTCTGTGCCGTAGACGCGATACCCAGCTGGATGTCGAACGAAGGGTGTGTGTGTGTGCCACTCAGCAGTTCGTTACGTCCTCCTCTACGGCCATTGAAAGTGGTAAATACGAAAAAAACTAGCCGTCTCCCATGTGTGCTAGGCGGTATTATCCGATTGAGTAATACTGAGAATAGGCATCGGTCGAGTGCTAGGCAGGTACGTGAGAGGGGGAAATCAATCGACGACGTTGTGAAGCAGTTGTATCGATTAAGATGGTTACGACATATGTTACGCATGCATAGCCATCCATCGCAGTCCTCAACGATGGGCAATGCTAGCACACATAGGATCAATCAGGTTGGAAAAGAGAAAGCCAATGTTGGTCAAACGACAGCATGGAATCAGTCAATGAAATCCACAACAGTTAGGTCAAGTCAGCCAAGTAGGGAGGTGCAGACTGCTAGTCTAGTTGGGATCCTTGCGATGGTAAGAACCAATGAACGCTGGAAACCTACCATTGGTGATGATATGCAGCTAAATCGTTCTCAATGGTTGACGCAGATCCATTCACTCTTTGTGATTTATTACATCCAATAAAATTCTATTCTTCTTCCATGTTACTATTCTTTTTCCCTTACTCACTAACACTTGTGTTTATTATCTCTCTCTTTTGAATCTATCTTTACTGTTTTCTCTTGGTTTGAGTGCTACACAGAAGGAGTGTGGCAACTGGAACTGCTGCACATCTGTGCCAAAGGTCAGTCAATCAATCGGTCAGTGGTACACAACTACTCATATGACTCAACCAAAATTAGTAGTATATCCATCCATCCTGTGGTGTTTAGATCACCTCACTCTGGTTGGTGAATATGAGTGGTGTGGTATAATACAACTACAGGACTGGACTAAATTGACTCGTAGCTTAGAGATAGGCAGGAAGTGAAGTGTTTAATTGGTGGATGGTGATTAGCAGTGGAATCCAGGATGCGCATTTCGTCCTATTTGGGACTCGTCATCTGGATGTACCTGCATTTCTCAGTGTGTGATGATGTTCCCACCGAGACTCGAACCCGGTGACCATGGTTTCAAACGCCATAGCGTTATCCACTAGACCACTTGGGCCACGAGAGCCACCTCTTGTGCAACGGGTCATATTGATTTAATTGAATTTTGGATTTTCCCGTCGATTGATTGGCGTTTGAAACCATGGTCACTGGGTCACTGGGAACATCATCACTCACTGAGAAATGCAGGCACATCCAACTGGCGGACGAGTCCCAAATAGGACGAAATGCGCATCCTGGATTCCACTGCTAGTCACCATCCACCAATTAAATACTAATTAAATGCCCAGACATCGTCGAAGCATCTGCTCAAGAAGCCGACATGTCAACCTGAGACCGAGCACTTCGGTCCAATCAATCGACGGGAAAATCCAAAATTCAATTAAAAGAAAATGAAGTGGTTGGTAGAGCATGTTGACCACTTCACTTATCTGGGGAGTCGCATCAGCCAGTGTACCAACGGGGTGATCGCTGACGAAATCTCAGCACAGATACAGAAGACTCGTTTCGCATATACCAACTTATACCATCTCATATGTAGACGTGCTATGCCGATGATGGTTGTCGACCGAAGAACGTGTGTATTGCTCAACAGTTCGCTCTGTCCCCCTTTATGGCTGTGAGCAAGACATAGCCATTGCAAATGGAGGATATGAAAAGGTTGGCTAGCTGTCTTTGATCATAGGTGGCTGCGTTCTATCCCTCTTCTTAATTGGCGGCTTCTGTCGAGAGGGTAAATCAACCAACGAGGCTGTACAGCTACACCGATTGAGAGAGATGGTTAGGACATGTATTACGCATCCCTAGTCATCGCCTTTCTCGACAACGGGCAATGTTATCCACTGAAATAGGATAAATCACCTCGGAAAAAGGAAAACTAGTGGTGGTCAAACCAAAACATCGCTTCATCAGTCAATCAAATCCATAACAGCTAGTTTCAGCCAGTCAGGTGTAGACTCCCAGTGTGGTTGGGATCCTCGGGATAATAAAACCCAACGAATTTTGATGTGGTTGTGTTCTCTGAGCTGGATAGTTAATTTGCGAAGCTTTCACCACCCTACTAGGTGACATCTTCAGCGCATACTTCAATTTGAAGTGAGCTTTTAGATTTCTCCACGAGTTTATTAATCATCTCTCCTGGCGACCTTGGAAGTGATTGGTTGTTTTTGTGTGTTTTCACACCTTCTAGGTTACTTGTATTGTCAGTCATTGTTTCTTTGACTTGAACTTTAACCCTTTGTGTGTGACTGAGCTACACCTGAGCTACAAATCTTCTCTATCATATCCAAAACCCAACGAAGTCTGGAGACAATTCGCGATGATATAGCTAAAAATCGTTCACAATAACTGGCACAGATGCATTCACACAAAAAGAGAAATACACAACAACACATACCTTAGAAGTGGTCACCTTTTCTACTTCAAATGCATAATCAATAATCGGTGTAGCTGGGAAATATTGATGAACATAATTTGATAACAATTGGACACGTTTATCTGGATTTGTGATCGACTTTATCCGATGACCAATGCCCATAATTAAACGTGACGCTTGACGTTCTTGATTCACAAATTGAACAGGTGATAGGCCCGTGTCATAAGCAGTTGAAAATTGACGTGCCGCCGCGTCTAATGCACCACCAAATCTATCACCCTAAATTAGGGAAGGAATAATTTTTAAAAAAATACTGATTATGAAATAATAATAATAATAACAGCTTTATTCTATTGATATAAGAATAGAACTTGTGCAATGTGGGTAGAATTTATTTTGATAAAGTCTCACAGCATGTTATACAGTAATATTTACTAATGATCACGTTTCGAGCATAAATTATTGCTACTCATAATCATATCAAGGTACTCACAAAACAATCGCACCTTCAAATGTATAGCTAACACTGTTAGTACATAGAAGTAATAAATCCCTTAAATAAGATAAAAGGGAACGGGATGAAAAAATTGTGTGTGTGTGTGGGTACCCATTGGTCGAAAACGAAACCTGATCCGGCCGCTTGCCACTCGTATTCGGCACATATGTAGCCCTGATACTGTGGAAGATGAGTTATACATCTTGAGGAAAATCCTAATAGAAAATGGATTTCCACCACCTTTTATAGATAAGAATATACATTCAAATCCTAAAAAACGTGAGTTATCAACCGTACCCAAGAAGATACTTTACAGGAGCTTGGAATTCAAAGGGGACTACTTAGCTTCCGATATCATGAAACGAAGGATATCAACAGTCCCTGAAAAGAACATTCCTTGCTGCATCCCTGAGAATAGCCTTTTCTAGTCGACCATTACTGTTCAATAACCTGAAGGACAAGATCCCGCTGTTGACCAACACTATGTGCATTTATCAATTCACCTGCCCGTATGCAGTTAGGTATATCGGTCGTTCGACTGGAGTTTTGTCCAAGAGGGTGCAAGAACACTATCCTGCATGGTTACGAAAAGGTGGAAGTGGAGCAATAAGAAGCGCGATCATTGAACATCTGGTCGATAATGATCACCCTATCTCTATAGCCTCCGCCTTCAAAGTCATCTACAAGGCAAAGAGTAATTTACCCAAATCACTACGTACCCGACTCATCTATATTGCTGAAGCTTTGGCTATCAAAACAGAAAAGCCAGATTTCTGTGTACAGAAAAAGTTCGTTCAACCCCTCCAACTTCCATGGTCTTAATCACTCTACTATGCTAAAGTATGGTAACCCCCAATCATATTTTAGCTCTAAGATTTTTTCACTTTTGTCTATTCAATTTGTATACTCTTCCTGATTAAGTCAATTGTTACCATTACTACTCTCACTTTCAATTGTCCTCGGTATTATTTCACTTGTTCCACTTGTCATTCTAAATCAATTCCTTTTTTACAACGTTAAATTCAATGCTATCGAATTTTACACAATATTATGTAACGTTTCTATTTTATTCGATTTGTCTACTAATCTTATAATTGCACACCCTTTTTCAAGTTCTATCCATCCTATGAATTATTCTATATATATGACATTAGTTCTTTTGCCACTTGACATTTAACTATGACTATAATCACAAACATTTTAGTTTTAATTGCATTTCATATTATCATTATTATTATTATTTCATGCATTCACACCTATGATTCAATTCCCTCACCGGATATAACTTCTTAAAAACCATATATATATATATATATATATATATATATATACGATTGTACAACTTGATGATAAATTCGTTGAAAAGTCTCTTCGATGAATCATTTGTTTTGATTTTCGAAATGTAATCACACAAAATGTCAACTGTTTTGAGCAAAGGCACATTAGTAGTGAATAACGAGTTTACATCAAAAGAGTACATATTCTTATTCATCTTAATATTAATATTACTATCGTTCGGTACAAAAGAGTCTTAGTAAGGTGTCTTTTCAGTAGAATCCAACGAATATGCACTGAAGACACACTTGATGATCAAGAAGAAAGAAAGTTGACACAAACTCTGCTTGATAACAATTATCCAGACAAGTTCATCAGGAGATATAAAGTAGTCAGAACACCAAGAGCCACTCTAAAACTCGCGCCTAGGAAAGACGGGTACATCAAGCTTGATAACTAGACAAAGACTGAACGCTGCTGTCAAAAAGACTTTTTATGCAGCCAATATCATAATAATAGAGAATGTGAAACCAATATATCTATCTAAGCCCTTCGAACATGCGAAAAAAGATGTCACATCCCAATGTATTTACGAAATTGAATGTACGTGTGGACACACATACATAGGGAGGAGGACTCATCGATCTCTGCAAGTAAGGGCTTCAGAGCATATTCCTAAATGGCTCCAGAAACAAATGGAATCTTCAGAACCTATTAACGGTGAGAACAGGAGACCTAGCTCTTCTATTCCGAAACATATTATAGAGACAGGACGTAAAATTGACGTTAACAGATCTTATAAATCTATCCATAAAACGTTTTTTGCGAGGGCGTATCCTAAAGTTTGTGGAAGCCCTAACAATTAGAAAGCTTAAACCACCTTTATGCGTTCAAAAACAATTCGTCATCACATTAAACCTTCCTTGGTAAATTTTGTTTTGATACCAACCAGAGTGGGATGTACTATTACCTCTGCTATTTGGTTTGGTGATCTTCATTGTTATTTTGACCTTCAATATGTTCTTTTAACTTGACCTAAGTCTATTTTCTCACCTCTTACCTCTTTATTAATTTCATATATATTCCTATGACAAGTCCGTGTGTGATCAAATAGTTCGAAATGTGTTGCGCAAATAAAACATTACACAATTCAGACAAATTACGTCTTCTTATTGCTTTATCTATTCTTTTCCAGCTCTTGACTTGATTGGTTGTAGTATTTTTCATATTTCCGGTATGAGTGACGAGTCACTTCTACTGCTTGTTTTGAGTGTAAACTCGATGAACAAGGACTCAGCAATAAACCTCTCACACTCTCCACCTACCTGTATTACGTTTTAGAATTTTAACACTCTCTCGCTACCCTATTGTGGGGTTGTGTGTTAATGCATGCAGTACAATTGGCTCCTCGGGACGGTAACAACCAATGAAAGCTGGAGACAAGTGGTGGGTGATATGGCTCAAAATCCTCGTTCTCAATGACTGACGCAGATGCATCCACTCCTTGTGACTTATAATACCCAATGGAACTATATTGTTCTTCTTTATTACTATTCCTTTTGTCTCATATCCCTGTCTACTGTCTCTATTTTGCATTCCTTTTCACTTTCTTCCCTTGCTTTATGTGCTACATGGAGTGAGTGTGGCGACTTGAACTGTTGCACATCCGTACAAAGTTCTATGTTGAAACCAGACAGGCAGACAGAGTGTAATCACTGAGCTTTTCTCTAAATTACTTATCTCCTCGGGGTCAACCATTCTTACCTCAGCTAAATTCTTATGTTCCGACAATCTGATGACCCTCTCCCGATCTACTGATTTGACCTATGTAGTTGACCTTAGTCACAGTCATTACAAGGTATTTTGTAAATTATATTATTTTGTCTTATTGGGTCCACTGGGTCCTTTAACCTACAGAGCTTGTCTTAACTGAGTGAGTATGTAGGTTTGAATGCCAATCTAATTCCTGCTTTATTGAGAATCCTACGTATGGGCTTGTCTCAGATGTCCCCTCTTTATATAGTATAACAGTAGATGATTTATATTCTCTCTTATTTATGTTATCATTATCACTTTGTCGACAGAATCAAATCCCACCTTCACATCAAGATATATGTCAGTTATTCAAGTATTGATTTGTAGGGATTTGATTGATTGATTGGTTGGAGGATTTCATCATGAGCTGACATAAATTAGAGAACCATTGAAACAAAAAAGCTGGGGGTACTGGACAGCCAATTGCTTCGTTAGACTAGTTTTGGGCAACTACCACCACCACAGGGGATTCGAACCCAGGACCTTCTGGTTACAAGGCCAGCGAACAGCTCGCAGACCATTCATCAGTCACTGGAAGCCGATCCAGTAGCCAGTTAATGAGTTCCAAATTCTGTCAATTCACGACATAGCGCCACCCTTAGCCAATGTCTTCCGTGGAGAGTATTTGTCCTCACTAGAACCCCAGGTAACTACCTACCTGAATAGGGTCAGTCTTCGCTCGTGAGCATCTCATTGATATTCAAGTATTGGTTTGTAGGCGTTTGATTGATTGACCGTCATATCGCGAATTGGCAGAAGTAGGAATTCGTAGGCCATTGGATTGGGTCCTAGTGGCTTAATGGTCTACGAGCTAGCTCACCTTGTAACCAGGTGATCCGTTCGAACCTCGGTGGATGCGTACTGATGGACAGTCTCGAACTAGGACGAAACGGCTGGCTGTCCACAGTACTCCCTACAGGCTTTCCATTGGTTCTCTAACTGATGTCAGCTCATGATGAATATGTCAGTTGTTAGACACTGGTAAAATGCACTAAATCCACTGAAAAGAGAAAAGGATTAAGGCATAGATATGCACACACCCGCACATATATATACAACTTACAATGGTTAATAAACCCGTGACAAGACTTGAGATTAAATCTTTTCCAGCTCGTGTTGTCACTATTGTATTATGCGCACCAGAAACAGCTGGACCATGATCAGCTGTGATGATCAAACAAAGTTCAAGAAATTTCCTTGCATATTCAGGTAATCTATAAAATAATGATGTGTTGTATAATGAAAGAGAATAAAATACATACAGGGTAATACAGAACAATTATCAAATTAATTTGAAAAAAAAAACACGTTTAGGTAAACTTCTAAACATAGTGAGTGAAGTGTGTCAACTCTATGAGTGGTGTTCAGAGCACTTCTCACAAAGAATATCATCATCGGTGATATTAGGCCGAGACAGCCTTGTCTTACCCCCCGGCGTTCAATTCAAACGCCTCGTTGAAATTTCCATTGTACATTACCCGATATTTTTTTCTTTTGCTTCACGTTCCCCAAGGGAACATAGGGCTTCAGGCTAGTGGCTTGAAGTTTATGTAGCAGTGTTTATTTTACAGGATGGGGTTGCTGCTGGCTTCATGCCCAACCTTTCCTCTTTGCTAGCATTATTTCTGACTTAGCGAAGGAAAGGAGTGCGTCGGTGGCCGGGAATCGAACCCCGGACCATGTGCATGGTTAGCGAGCGTCCTAACCACAATACCACCCACGCACTCGCCCGACATGTGACTTCATCATATTGCTGTGGACTGAGACTGTGTGATAAGGACTTGGAGCACTTCATAATCTTGAATCAGTTTCTAGAAAACTAAAGTGATTCGGCGAGGAAGGCACTTTTCGAAAAACGAACTTGTTATTAAACTGTACAGCTATGAACGTCACCGAATTTATTAGAGAGGGAGGGTTGGGTGTGGGGCTAGCAACCCTACACCACAGAACCAATCGAACTGCAACAAAAACTTCAACACACACTAAAAATATTGAAATATTACAAAAAATATAAAAACAAACACTTATTCTTCTCTGGAATCCGAGAGGCGAAAGCCTTTGGGAAGCCAGTCAGCCAGCCGACGTGTCTTTTATCAATGAAAGCAAGAATGTGGACGTGGGATGCCCGTACAATGTATGAGGCTGGGCTGAGAAGGCTTCCCAGGTAGCCGAAGAGATACGAAGATATGGCTTAGAAGTACTGGGTATCTGCGAAAGCAGATGGAATGGAGGTGGATTGTCAATATTTTCAACTGGAGAGTCAGTAATCCACTCCGGTCTGGTCACCCAGATGACAACCACTAGCACACTGAGGCAGTCAGTGGCTATCATGATGTCACCAGTGGCAGCCAAAGTCCTAATACAGTGGGAACAAATTTCATCCAGGATCATGACAGTAAGATTCTACTCAAACTTAAGGAAGGTTACAATTATCCAATGCTACGCACAGTGCTACAAACAACTCAGAACAAACGAAGAAGGGAGATTTCTATAGACAACTGCAAACAGTATTGGACAACATCCTAAATAGTGACATTAAAATCCTTATGGGCGATATGTGAATCCCAGGCGAACTGGGAGGAGACAACACCGAAAGAGAAAACTCATTATGAGTCATGAGGCTCTTGCTTGGCGAAATGAATGAATAACAATGGAGAAAACTCTTCGCAGACTTTCGCTCCTTCAATGATTTGGTGATTGGATGTAGCGTATACAAGACAGAAACGAACAGTCAAAACTCACCAACCTCTTTGACATACACCCTCCCGCCGCAGATTAATTTTCAAGAGTTAATCTGTAGAGATTTTCTGCTTGTGAGGAATAGAGCTGATAAATATCCCACTCATTCACGACATAGCGCAACCACTCAGCAATGTCTTCTTCGATGAGTAACTGTCCTCACCTTCGACCTACTGTACCCTACTGGCCATGGACTAAGTGGTCGCGCTATGTCGTGCATTGGCAGAAGTTGGAATTCATGGGCTGGCCATTGGATCAGGTCCCAGTGGCTTAATGGTTTACGAGCTCGCTAACCTTGTAACCACTGATGAAGAGTCCAGGACTGGGACGAAACGGCTCCCCAGTACTTTCTACTGGTTTTCCAATGGTTCTCGAACCGATATCAGCTCATGATGAAATTCTCCTAGCAATCAAACGAAATCTCTACAAACCACCAATACCTGAAAATATCCTACTCCTTGCTTAAACATCATGGAGGTATGTAGGCAATAAAACTACTAGAAAACATAACTTACATATCAAATTCTGTAGTAATGTAAGACTGAATACTATTACACCATCACTACCATCAACTGCTCCATAACTTCATTGTAAAAGTAACTACCAACTAAAACAGAACGAAATTCCCTGGACTTTTGCGGTCAGAAATCGTGACCAGTGAGGTTCACTTTTCCAGTGCATTGACTGACTTGAATACACAGAAATTAGAATTCATGGAGTGGTCATTGGAATTCCGTCCCAGTAACTCAATGGTCAACAAGCCCGCTTCATAACCTGTACGTTCTGGTGGAGGAGTCATGACTGCATAGTGCTGAAGACTCCCAAACTGGGGTGACACGGCTTTCCAGTATTCCCTGCTGGTTTTCAATTATTCTGTAATTGATATCAATCCATGGTGGTCAAACTTTCAGTCAATCAAATACCTAAGGACTACCATTTGAAAAGCGGAAAGTTCCATAAATTTACAGGATTTCATCATGAGCTGACATCGGTTAGAGAACCATTGGAAAACCAACAGGGAGTACTGGACAGCTGTTTTGCCCTAGTTTGGGACTTTTCATCAGTACGCACCCACCACAACGGTTCGAACCCACGACCTTCTGGTTACAAGGCTAGTGAGCTCGTAGACCATTCATCAGCCACTGGGACCCGATCCAATGGTCAGTCCATGAATTCTAACTTCCGACATTTCACGATATAGCGCGACCACTAGCCAATGTCTTCGCTGAGTATTTGTCCTCACATCCGACCTGCTGGTCACGACTTCTCACTAGAACCCCAGGTTACTACCTACTTGAACAGGGCAAGGAGCTGCACCAGTAAGGTGCAGCACGTCGGGTGTGAGGACAATTACTCACCGAAGACATCGTCTAGTGGTCACGCTATATCGTGAAATGGCAGAAGTTAGAATTCATGGGCCATTAGATTGGGTCTCGGTGGCTGGTAAATGGTCTACGAGCTCGCCTTGTAACCAGAAGGTCGTGGGTTTGAACCCCGGTGGGTGCGTACTGCTGAAGAGTCCCAAACTAGGACAAAACAGACGTGCGGTACTCCCAGGTTTTTTAATGGTTCTCTAATTGAGGTCAGCTCATGATGAAATCCTGCAACCTATCAAATCCCTACAAACCAACACTTGAATTTCCATAAATTTATTTGCCAAGAAAATAAATCCCGAGTTGGTGATATCAGTTACAGAACCATTGAAAAACTAGCAAGGAGTGCTGGACAGTTGATCCCCGTCCAAGCTTGCAACTCATCGGCAATACGCAAATACCGGGGTTCCAACCCAGGACCTTCCAGTTACTGCCGAATAGTTACGAACCAGGATGAAACAGCCAGCTGTCCACTTCTCCCTGGTTCTCTAAGTGATGTTAACTCGTGAAAAAAACATGTAAGCAATCAAATCCTTGCAAAGCAATACTTGATAATTGATATCATGTAAAGTAGCGACTTGGCTCTATACAGGAAGTTACCAGGGGTTTTCGTAAGAGGTCGTAAGCAGCGTGGTCAACACCAAGTCAGGTAAGAGGAAAGCTACCCGCCGATGACACTGGCTGGCGGTTATGATGTACATATATCGCGAATTGACAAAAGTCGGAATTCACGCACTATTGGGTTCGATCCCAGTGGCTGAATGGAGAATCTTAGGTTCAGTTCCCATTGAACCCTTGCTGCTGAAGAGTCCGAAACTAGGACGAAACACCTGTTCGGTACACCCCTGTTCAGTTTCCTATGGTTCTCTAATCGATATCAGCTTGTGATCAGTCCTGTAACCAATCAGATCCCTGCAAACCAATACTTGAAAATTTGTTGATATAAAGAAGAATAATGGGGAATAAAGCGAGGGTTGGGGGGAGGCGAGGCAGAGAAAAAAAATCGCCTGAATAACACCAACCTTCGTTTAAACCATAGCAAGCTAAGAACTCCACCAATGCCTAATTCTTCTTCAATCACTTGACTAATAGGCAATCCAGCATATAGCAATTCTTCACCACGATCATCGCATATCGTCGAGGTAAATGCAACTGGCCGACGAATCAGGCCTAATTCCTGCAATACAAAAATAGACAAAAATATTCATTCAGACATCTGTAAAACACAAAATAATCGAGCAATTTATTATATATATATGTTTATATACATAGAATATTCTAGAATAGTAGTCAGTAACAATATTAGTGTCTTTTAAATAATATCGATTTGTAAAGTAAGATCACGATGGAATTACAGTTCATTAAAGATGCTTAAATTAAATAATTAATAATAATAATAATAAAGATATAGTAGCGAATAGAATATCAACTAAAATTAGGAAAATTCCACAAAAATTCTGGATTATTCAAACCTAGATGTCCAAGGTAATGATAATGTCTGAACTAACTTATTTTGAGTGCATAAATTAGGCTTGTTAATATGAATCCCAACAGCCTCAGCAATATTTAGTAATCAAACTCTTAAGGCGAAATTGAGATTTGTTGGTATGCAGTAAATGACTCTGAAAGCCTGGTTAACATCAGTCTTGTATTCTATATCCATAAGATGAGACAGAATAGCACTGCGAATAGATTTTGTTTGTCCTTTGCTTAACCAATATGCATGGTGATGTTCGGAAATTCGACGAGAAACACGCCTAATTGTACGGCCTATGTAACTGGTTCACAAGGAGCAGTTAAATTGGTATATACACATGGAAGAGGCGAAATTAGGCAGTTTGTCTTTTATTCCCGAAAGCAAAAGAGGAGTGGTTTTAAAGATACAGCGTAATTCGGAAGCAGTGGGGAATGCTCATTTTACCGCATTTCTAAGGCACTGTGTTAGTATCTCACTGGTGTTGTCCCCAAAGAACTGCATCTGTAGGAATAAGTTCTTTTTGGGAACTGTTGGTAACTTGGGCTGCATTGGTTTTAGATTCACATTCTTATCAATGAACGTTTCAGGATAACCATTTTCACTTAGCAACTGTTTAATATTATTAAGTTCTTCATCAAGACATTGCTCTTGCTCTATGAACCTAGCACTTTATCAGATTGCGTTTGTATTTTAAGGGCACGAAGCTGAGAAAATGTGTATACTGACCCTTTGATGTAAGTTTTCTATATACCCTTATTTTTGTTGTGCCATCCTTCTTTCTGCTCATAAGGACGTCTAAAAATGAAATACTAGAAACTTTTTCTTTCTCAATAGTAAAATTTATCCAGGATGTTCTTTGCTTCCTTCTCATTTTTCATAATCAAAAATGTATCATCAATGTACCGACAATAGAATTCAAGTTCATTAATAACATCCTTCAAAGGCCCATTTTCTAGTTTCGCAAGAAAATGTCGGCTAGAATGGGTCCTAGTGGTGATCCCATTGCCACACTATCGGTTTTTTTATATAGTTCCTTATTAAATAAAAAAGTGGACATTCATTGTGCATTTCCAGAGAAGCTCTTTCATAAAAGACAATAGAATAGCTCAAAAGTGTCAACTAAAACAACCAACTGTCATATAAATGTACTATTCGATAATGAGTAATAAGTAATAATAATGATAATAATATTGAAGGTTACAATGTTTCCTAACCACAAACGCATTCATACATTAGTGTGTAACGCGTTTTCTCCGTTGTGCAACAACCGGTGAGATGAAATGCTCACAAAGAAATGAGAACAACTTGCATTTCCACTCAGCTGTTCACAGTCAGCTACACATATCGTGTGACGATGAGTGCAGGGTTCGAGTCTCTGCAGAAACACCATTCATTCACTCACTCACTCACTCAATGGGAGATGCAAGTACATCCAGTTGAAGAAGTCCCAAAAAGGACGAAATGACAATCGACTGGATTTCAAATAGCTAGTTACACCATCAATCATAATAACTTGAAATCACTTATTTTCGCATGAAGCATCGAACCAACACAACCCCCCTCTCACCTACACTTACATAGACACTATCAAGTGTTAGAGAACCACTAGAAATCAAACCAGCGAGTACTGGAGAGCCAGCTGTTTCATCCCAGTTTGGGACATGAGAAAATTTCCTCATATTTCTTTTACTTATTATAAAAACCTCAAGTCGTCACAACTGTCACAAAAGAAATTCAGCAATGATGTATTTCAAAACTAGTTAATAACATAACTGACGGAATAATTGAAATTTCAAAAGACTGACTGCTGAAAACGACATGTTACTAAGTTATTCATAAGATAGAAGGGGATTATAAGTGAGAGGAACTAGTTTATTTGGACACATTTCTGCCCATATGTGCAAAAATTTGAATTTTGTTCATTTTTAATGCTTTATTGTGCATTGTTGAAGTTTCTATAGTAGTTTGATTGGTTTTGTGCGGTAGGGTCACTAACCCCCCACACCCAACCTTCCCTCTTTTTACACGGGATTGAGACCAACTAGAAAGCTAGCGACCTATTAAAATAGGCTGTCTTCTCTCCAAGCTGAAGATTAAATGGCCGCCTGGCAGGCCAGAAACAATTAGCAAGAAGAAACTCTGGTAGGGAACACACCAACCAAGAACCGATTGCTCAACAAATATTATTTATTATTATTGTTCCCTTGGGTTCCTAGTGGAACATAGGGCTTCAACTACACGTCTCCACGTGCTTCTCTCTTCTGCTGTACGTTTCACTTGCATCCATGTTAATCCATACTGTTTCAACTTCTCTTCACACGATCTCCTCCATGTCACCCTTCGACGTCCCACTCGTCGCTTCTCTTTCGGGTTCCACTCGAGCAATGGCCTGACGCGCGATGTCACCCAGCTGGCCTCCTCAGCGAGTGTCCAATCCATCTCCACTTTCTCCTGCATATTTGTTGGGCGATTCATTCTTGTTTTGTTTGTTCCCATAGTTTCTTGTTGGTGATTCTTTCCGGAGGCCATCTGATCTTCAGTATAGAGCCAGCGAAGACAGTTGTTGATAAAGGTCTGCAACAGGCTGTTGGAAATATTCTTTGTGACCCGCCAAGTTTCTGATCCGTACGTATAGAAGAACTGACTGACTTGACGTTTGTATTGAAAATCCGAATTTTGTTGTTGATGCAGGCTGAGTGACGAAGATTTCCAGATTGGTTTCAGGTTGATGAATGTGTTTCTCGCCTTCCCGATTCTCGATTTGACATCCTCGTCCGTTCCTCCTGTAGTTGAGACAATGCTGTCTAGATAAGTGAATGAAGTAACCTCTTTCAAATCCCTCCCGTTGATGGTGATAGGCACTGGATGTTGCTGCTGCTGTTGTTGTTGATTGGTTATTTCATAACCTCCGTTTTGTCTATGTTCACCTGGAGTCCTGTCTTTGCTGCCAGCCTCTTCGACCAGTTTGTCGGTTTTCGCTTGTAAATCTTCGATTTTGTGTGACATCATACATAAATCATCCACACGCGAAATCCAGGTCTTCTAGGTTCTTCACGTCGGTCCAGGATATCCCTGTCTTCTCGTTTCCCACTGTCTGACGCATAATCCAGTCCACCACAATTAGGAATGTCATTGGTGATAATAAGCACCCTTGTCTGACTCCTGTGTTTACTCCAAACGCCTCGCTGAATTTTCCGTTGTGGATCACTTGACATGTGCCGTTGTCGTACAGCTGTTGAATAAGGTTGATATGTAGGAGAAAATAGAGATGGAGTGGGCATACGTTGAGGAGGCTATCGAATGACATCGTGCCATTTGTTAGACCACCACTAAAGTGAGGGTGATATGGAGAAGGAGGAGGAGGCGATGAATGATTATGGTCAATTATGGACCCAGATGAATAGGAAAGGACTGAATAGTACAAAGTTCAGATGTGTTGTTGAAGCCCTATGTTCCACACGGTAAGGGAGTTCTCTTACGTCATATTAATACACTGAAGGAGAATTAGTTTTTTAGATAAACGAAATTAATTTAATTTGTGGATGGTGAGTAGCAGTGGAATCAAGCCAGCATGCGCATTTCGTCCCATTTAGGACTCGTCATCTGGATGTACCTGCATTTCCCAGTGAGTGATGATGTTCCCAACGAGGCTTAGTTTCAAACGACATGTCAACGTGAGACCGAGCACTTCGGTCCAATCAATCGACGGGAAAATCTCAAATTCAATTAAATAATTAATATGACCCGTTGCACAAGAGACAGTGGCTCTCTTGGCCCAAGTGGTCTAGTGGATAACACTTTGGCGTTTGAAACTATGGGCACTGGGTTCGAGCCTCGGTGGGAACATCATAACTGACTCACTGTGGAATGCAGGTACATCCTGTGACGAGTCCCAAACAGGACGAAATGCGCATCCTGGATTCCACTGCTAGTCACCATCCACCAATTAAATACTAATTAAATGCCCAGACATCGTCGAAGCATCTGTAGAAGAAGCCGACATGTCAACCTGAGACCGAGCACTTCGGTACAATCAATCGATGGGAAAATCTCAAATTCAATTAAACGAAATTAATTGCCAAAAAATGACACATCAAGTGGGAAAATAGTATATATATATATATATATATATATATATATATATAAACTCTCTAGCCTACTCTTTCATAACTTCGACAAATTGAGTAGGCAAGAATAAGGAAGGAAAATAAGGAAGAGAAAAAGGAAAAATGGGTGTGTAGAGGAACTAAGCAACAGGGTAGAGGAAAAAAATACACTTGCACATGCACATGCACATGCACGCACACGCACAAACACACACGCGCGCGCCTATTAGAGGATTGTCGTAAACTGCCAGAAAAAATTAAGAGAAATAGAGTAGTCGACGCAAGTGAGTGTATAAAAAGGCTGAATCGATCGAGAAATATATAACTCAGTAGAGAGGGTTTGTAATTGGTTGAGATCAAAACACAACGGACTATAAACAGATAAATAAACAAACAAAACAAAGAGGAGGTAAATATGTAAACAGAAACTTGATACACTTGTGACTTTAAGCATACAGAGAGATGCGAGAGAGAGCTAGAGATAGAGAGATTAAACGAGAAACACCCGCATATATATACACACACGTCATCATCATAACTGCGATAAATAGACAGAGGTTACTTAAGAAACAACGTGGTATTATTGCTTACGAACATCCTATTCACTGAAACAATATGCTATATAACACAAAATAATCGAGCGAAGAATATTCTTTTCGATAAATTCCTCTTCCGGCTCTACAATTATATGCATATATGTTTATATACATAGAATATTCTAGATTAGTGGTCAGTAACAATATCGGCGTGTTTTTCAAATAATATCGATTTGTAAAGTAAGATCAGTGGAATTACAGTCCATTAAAGATGCTTAAATAATAATAATTATTAAACTAAAATTAGGGAAATTTCTACAAAAATTCAGGATCATTCGAACCTAGATGGCCAAGCGTAAGGATAATGTCTGAACTAACTTCTTTTGGGTGCATAAATTAGGCTTATTAATATGGATCTCCACAGCCTCAACAACAGTTCCAAAAAAGGACTTGTTATTACAGATGCAGTTCCTAGGAGACAACACCAGTGAAATACTAACACAGCGCCTTAGAAATGCGGTAAAAAGAGCATTCCCTGCTGCTGAATTACGCTGTATATCTTCAAAACCACTCCTTTTATGCGTTCGGGAATAAAAGACAAACTGCCTAATTTCGCCTCTTCCATGTGTATATACCAATTTAACTGCTCCTGTGGAGTGAGCCAGTTACATAGGCCATACAATTAGGCGTGTTTCTCGTCGAATTTCCGAACATCACCCTGCCTAGTGATTAAGCAAAGGACAAACAAAATCTATTCGCAGCGCTATTCTGGCGCATCTTGTGGAGACAGAACACAAGATTGACGTTAATCATGCTTTCAGGGTCATTTACCGCATACAAACACATCTCGATTTCGCCTTAAGAGTTCGACTTCTAAACATTGCTGAGGCTGTGGGGATCCATATTAAGAAGCCTAATTTATGCACGCAAAAGAAGTTAGTTCAAACATTATCATTACCTTGGCCATCCAGGTTTGAATAATCCAGAAGTTTTCTGAAATTTCCCTAATTTTAGTTGATATTCTATTCGCTATTATTATTATAATTTAAGCATCTTTAATGAACTGTAATTTCACTGTGATCTTACTTTACAAATCGATATTATTTAAAAAACACAAACATTGTTATTAACTACTTTTCTAGAAAATTCCATGTATATAAACATATATATAATTGTAGAGCCGGAAGAGGAATTTATCGAAAGGAATATTCTTTGCTCGATTATTTTGTGTTTTATAGATGTTTGAATGAATATTTTTGCAATATACTATATAGATAATATGTGAAACTATATTGATTCAAAGGGGATATGAACATTGGTATACCTTACTGAATATTTGAAGGAACTCCTATATGTCCTATTCCCTGACAATAATCATATATATATATATATATATATATATATATATATCAGCAAAAAGATGGTATAGATAATGGGCTCACTACTTGGCCTGTTGCTTGCAGATGTTTTTCATGTCAAAACTAGAAAAAAATACATATTAAGAAAGTGATTGACAACTTTGGATTCTACGAGAGATATGTGGACGATACTTTCATTATTTCCAACAATGAGAAGACATATGATAGAGAAGATTTGTAGCTCAGGTGGATGATTTTCATGTGGCTGTGTTCTCTGAGCTGGATAGTTAATTTGCGGGTTGGCTGCCTTGGAGGTATATGTCTTTTGATGAAATTCCGTGGATATCCATCCATTCTTTTGGAAGACGTCCATGAGATATCTTCCTTCAATTTTCCTTAAGGTGGGAGTGCTGCAATGACACCTGGCTGGCCCTCTTGAATAGTGTTTGTATGCAATTCCTCTTGTGAGCTATTGGATTGTTGCTGTTGTAATTCAGGATTTGGTCTGTGTGAATTGTCACAGTAAAGAAAGACCACATCTCGAAAAGACAGCTTCGGTACCAAAGAAAGCTATCTTTATAAACCTACCATTCAAGGGTGATCAGATTATGCAGTTGACAGCTCAAAGACTCCGGTCAGCCATCAAACGCACATTCTACGCCATATCTCTTTTCCTCACTTGCCGAACATTTTCAATCCCTGTACCTACGATTAAAGGACGAAATTCTGTGGACTCTACTTCAAACTGTATCTACAAGTTCACCTGCAGCTGCGGTGACACCTATATAGGTAGAACCAACAGAATGTTCCAATGTCGTCGGAAAGAACATGTTCCAAAATGGCTACTAAATCACATAGAAAATCCCAATGCCCGTAATCTGAATAGAAATCCAGCATCATCCATTGCAAATCACTTATTATTGTCAGGTCACAAAATCAATCAATATTAATGACTGTTTCACAATTATTTCACATAACTCTAATTCAATGTTGGTTATTGAAGGTGATGGAAGCACTTTGGATTAATCCCATGCAGCCTAAACTGTGTGTACAGTAAAAACAATAGACTTCAATCTTCGCCTACCCTGGACTACTTGACCTATCTAAATATGATTGGTCATTAGTATGTAATTTTGTTTTTTATTTAACTGAGTAATTGTCATGAACTTTATTTTATTATTGTTAACCATGTTAGTTGTAAAGCGGTTGTAAAGAAACTACGAAATGACGATATCATCTCGCGAAATTTGTCTTCTTAATGTCTTTGTTATATATATGCTGAGATTTTGTAAAAATTCCGGTTTAATAATACTTTGATGAAGCTATTAGCGTTAAATAGGTAAACGTCAGTAAAAACGACAATATCGTTTTGTTTTTTCAATCATTCACTGGGAAATACAAGAAACCTTTATTATAATGAATATCATATACCCAATGCCCAAATTTTTTTTCAAAAGTGAACTTGGTTTGGGGACATATATAAAATTGTCTTAAACTTACTTTTGCCCATGAATAATCCATTGGTACAGTTCTAGGTGAATGATCTGGTTTCGGTATCAGTTGACCACTACGCACAAGATCATCGAATACACGTCTGAGATCACATGAATATGGAGAGAAAAAATTAGAGAAGCATAAAATTCAATTAAATATTGAATAGTACATTCATTTGAATAGAAAAAAATGAGAGAGATTAGATACCTAAAAATAAAAATTAGAATTGTATTCATTATTATTAGGGATAAAGCACATGAGAACAAAAACCATGAAACGCATAACCACACACACACACACGATGACACAAGGCAGCACAACAGTACATTACCCCAGCTGATTGCTACTTTTTATTCAGACTTGATTCACCTGAGGATATTGGAAAGATATTCACATCATCTGATAGGAATATCTACCTCGGTGTAGACAAGTTTATCAGCTGTTGTTTATTATCTAAACACCGTCGGTGAATTTCCAGAGTCCATAATGATTGGTTTGTAGGGATTTGATTGATTGATTACCGGTGACAGGATTTCATAATGAGCTGACATCGGTTAGAGAACCATTGGAGAACCAGCCACAAGGAGTACTGGACAGCCAGCTGTTTCGTCAGCCTAGTTTGAGACTCTTCAACTGTGAACACCCAATGGGGTTCGAACCAAGGACCTTATGGTTACGAGGCCGGCAAGTTCGTAGACCAATGAGCCACTTGGGCCTGATTCAATGGCCAGCCCATGAATTCTAACTTCTGCTAATTCACGACATAGCGCAACCGGTAGCCAATGTCTTCGGCGAGTAGCTGGTTTCGAATTCCGCTGCAGAACTACAGCCTTTCCCTCTACACTGAAACAACATCACCAGCTTAATCAAAGTAAAGGAAATAGTATGATGATGGCATACAACGCTGATTAAATGGAGTCCATGCAACAAGCTATTAATATCACAAGCAGTACTGTCTGGTTGTTTAACAAAATCGAAAGGTTATCTCTAAACAAGAGCTGCACAGCTTTCTTCAACGTTTTTGGCAAAGATCAATATTAAACAATGTCAGCTCATGATGAAATCCTGTTACCAATCAATCAAATCCCTACAACAAACCAATACTTGAAAATCGATGAGATGCTCACTGGCGACTGGCCATATTCAAGTAGGTAGTAGTTACCTAGGGTTCTAGTGGGAAGTCGTGACCAGTAAGGTGCAGCAGGTCGGGTGTGAGGACAAATACTCGCCACGGAAGTTATTGACTAGTAGTCGCGCTATGTCGTGAATTGGCAGAAGCTAGATAGAATTCATGCACTGATTCGCCATTGGATTGGGTCCCAGTGGCTTAATGGTCTACGAGCTCGCCTTGTAACCAAGGCGGTCCTGGGTGGGAACCCCTATGGTGAGTGCGTACTGATGAAGAGTCCCAAACTAGGACGAAACAGCTGTCCAGTACTCCCGGATTTTCCAATGGTTCTCTAACTAATGTCAGCTCATGATGAAAATCATGTAATAATAATATCAATGGATTACAGTTCGATAGCATCAACATAACAATGCACACTGAATGAATATCGGAGAAATTAGGAAAGATAATAACACAAATTCATGAATTAATAATCTCTACAGAAGGCCAGGGCAGATGTATTGGCTGGACTTGATTCTTCTGCACACACACACACACACAGAACCAGCTGTTTCAGACGAATGGCGATAGCCTCTGCTGTTTTGAGTATGCGGTTGCCTGGCTTTTTTGGCAATTTACTCGGTACCCGATAGTTGATGATAGAGAAGAATTATTCAGTGCAAGCTTTGTGGCTGGTTTGGACCAGGTGGCCTAATACTGCCCTATTGATGCTTCTCACTACACTTTTATTTAACCAGACTGGTAGGTGTTCTTAAGTGAACACGAAAAACCAAGCTCCTAAAGCAACGGCCCCACCACATGCGTAGTTGAATTGGTAGATACAATTAGAAGTGGCTGGTCTAGTCTAGGTACTTCATCTTTCAATCGAGGAATCACCATCGGTCGAGGCGAAGAAAATAAGATTTGTAGTTTGCCAGTGCTAAAAGTTCTTTAAACTGATTTTTCACCCTCTTCATAATTATTTTGCTAGGTATATCGCCCTTGAACTGCAGTTGTATGTATTAAAGCTACTTGTTCATGGATAGCAACTAGGCCTTTTCAACTTTCGTAGTCATGTGTTTCCTGATGAATTCGTCTGAATAACTATTTTCAATTAGGGTGTCATATACAATCCTTAGATCATCTTCAATTAACTCTTCTGAGTATATAGCTTTAACCCTATGACTGAGGGTCCTTACTAGAGAGAAACGAAGATATGCGTATTTCGTCCTATACATGTATTTTCCAATGAAAATTTCTCTTTATCCTACCAACAAATTACCTGGTAAAGAGGACATCTAGTAAGGCAGCAATTCTATTTTCGAATCTTCTTCACACGTGAATTCCCCAGGAGAACACACTGCACTGAGTCGAGTTATTAATGTGTTCTTATCTCAATCACATTATATTCTCTCTTATTTATGTTATCATTATTAGTTTCACAATTATTTTTATTTTCCTTTCAGCCTTTTCTGATCTTACTCATGAATTTTATAGGATAGTTATTCAACATCAACCAGCTATTCTTCTATCTGTTTTATTTCATCATTTAGGTCTCTTTTGTGCTACTTGGTGCTATTGCTCGCTTTGTTAGACACTTAACTGAATCAGCCTTCACAGATAACGACGGATGAAATGAATTAAAGTCTAAATGTCTATTAGTAGAATGCTTCGGTTTTTATAAATGCTAGTGTGCAGTTTAGCTTCTCCTATTTGTTTTATTTTACAATCTAACATAGCTAATTCTCCTTGTTTATTTTCCGATTCAAATGTGAATTTTATTCCCTCTACTAGTGAGTTTATGCATGTGTCAAAAAGCTAGAGAGACATATGTTCTGATTTTAACATTGTGTGTGAAAGTGTCATCCACATATCTCCACCATATTATCTCTGGAGTAGGACTAAATATATTAAGAGCAATATTTTCTCTACTGGCTGTCCACAAATATATATGCTATGATTGGGGATATTGGTGATCCATGCCATTGCTACACCTTCGGTTTGTTCTTAATATCTTTTACCTTGGAATATAAAGATATTAGATGTGAGACATAACTGAATTCCTAAAATAATTTCCTCAGTGGAAAATACTACTACCAATCAAGTGTGCCACTTAGTCAGGCCGTTACTACTAACATAGTCGTCAACAGACACTTGAAGTCACGTGAGATATATTTTAAATCCATATTGTCTGACCTTCAACACCCTCAACATTTCATCTGGTAGAACTAGCAGTTAGCGATAGCATATTTGGCCTGCCCCCCCCCCCACGTTCTATGTGGTAGAGACACTCGCTGTTAAACGTGAAACTTATAACAAGTTACTATTGTGATTATTAGCTAAATAAATAGCTCTCTGAACTTCTTCTATTTGTAATTTATGGTGATGCTATTTTAATTATCTTAATGGTTTAGTTATTGGCATTATTATTATTATTATTATTATTATTATTATTATTACTATCACCAGCATTTTACATTTTTTGTGCATTTTTGTCTTTATGGCTACTGTTTTTAGCGAAAACTTGCTATTATTAAGTCTGTTCAACTATACAGTCTGTTATATTATTTTTGTTTTTTCTGTGTTGTGTTGTTGAGTAAATTAGAGATGCAATATTATCTGTAAGTATGGTATGTGCCCTGCGCCGTCTAAGTGCAAAGTACTGTTACAAGATTGGCAGGAGCCTGTACCTGCACTCACTCTTGCGGGTAAACCGCTTGAAGTTGTTGACAAGTTTGCGTATCTGGGTAGTTGTGTGAGTGCTGGTGGAGGGGTGACGTATGAGATTTCCAACCGTATAATGAAGGCTAGGGTGGCATACATCAACTTGAGCTGCCCCTGGCGCCGTCATCCTGGCTGTCAAAGGTCGGGTATACCATGCTTCGGTGCGGGCTGTCTTGCTCTACGCCTGTGAAACTCGGCCTCTCCGAGCTGAGGATGTGCGGCGGTCCTGTATGTTCGATCATCGCTGTCACCGCAGGATTGCTTGCGTTCGATGGCATCATCGCGTGAGGAATTCTGAGGTTCGGCGGCGTGTGTTTGATCACAGTGGAGATCACCATTCATTGAGTGTCGTCATCTGGAAACACCGGTTCCGGTGGCTTGGACATGTGCTGCGAATGTCATCCCAGAAGCCTCCGTACAGGTCTCTGTTCGCTGGCCAGCCCTGGGACGGCATGGGAAAGGCGGAGGGGTGGTCAGTTCATGATGTAGCGTCGTGAGATGAAGGATTTTTGTGCTAGATAAGCATCGGTTGGGGTCCGCGAGATAGCTCGAAACGTTATCGGATATGGCCAAGAATCGTAATCAATGGCGAATGTGTTGCAATTTCCTTCTTTCTTCCCTTCCTGATGATAGTTAACGAATACTGTTTGAACTTGTTAAGTATGACTATTTTCCTTCCAGATGAAGTTCTTTATCCGTTTTCTACTTATATTTTTACTTTTAATCTATGTTGTTTTATTATTATTGTGTGGCGCATCTTTCTTGGTGCCATATTATACCAAGTTTTTTCTTCTGCGTTTAAATAAATAAACTACATCCTGAGAATTCTATATTGTACTTCGATTGGACACTAGTCAGTAATTAGTGTGATATGTCCGGTCCTTTCTTTGGTTCAGACTGAATTCTATCAGTTAGTCAGTTTGCAATGTGGCCACCATGCCACACTAGGTGGCTCGCCATCACGGTGCACATTGATTTGATGATATTAGATTGTTTGGAGGCAATTGCCAATAGGAACCTCTACCTGACCTAGGTTTCGTGCTAGTTGGCACTCACCAGTCAGTAAGCAAGGTGTATGTGTAATTACCTTCAAGGAACTCATGTCTCCTGTCTGAGATTCGAACCCGCGTCACCCAGTGCTGCAGTCAGTGGACTAGACACATTACACTAGTTAGTGACTAGTGTTCAATCGAAGTACAATATGGAATTCTCAGGATGTAGTACAATATTGCATCTCTAATTTACTCAACAACACAACACAGAAAAAC